TCATTTCCGGAGTCCTTTTTTTAAAGTGAAATCCTGCTTATTTAAATCATGAGATATTCTCAGTGGAAAAGACTGAGGAGAGGGCTGACCCCATGGCCTAGTGGTTAAGGAACCTAGATCTCATATGGTTGGCCTCATAGTTCAAGTCCCAGATCCACTGATTTGAGAAACATGCTGTGTGGCCAAAATCCAAGCAGGATAAAGAAATGGAGGAGAAAGAATTGCTGTGTGACCACAACCCAATGGGGAGGTGCTTTCTCCCTCTCCTCCCTCTGTCTCTCTCTCTTTCTGGCAAGCATATATGTCCTCTGCTAATTTGAAAAAAAAAAAAAAAAAAGATGGAGAAGAAACCACTTAATGAATGTGAGTATACATCTCATAAAAACAATCAACTGGGGCCAGCAGGTGGCATGAGCATCGTGGTTAAGGTGCTGGACTCCCACATGGCCAACTGTAGTTTGAGTCCTAGACCTGGTGGCTTGCTTTCTCACTTTCTCTGTCTCACTCTCTCTGTTGAACACACATGTCCTGTGGCAAAATAAAAAATAATAACAATAAATAAAATTAATTGAGCAATTCTTTAAAAATAAAATAGAAAAATAAGAATAAATCAAAATGCATTCTTACTTACCAAAAATGTACATCAAAGTACAGTAGAAAAAAAACTAGCAATTAGGACTACTTAGATAAAACCTTACTCTCCTAACCAAAAAAACAAAAACCAAACCAAAAAAATTGTACTATACCTGTTTATGTTGTATCTATTTTTAAAAATTCCAAATATGCTAAACTTTCCAAAATATTGTCAATAATTGATAAGTGCTGTTCTTGTTGCTCATGCATGAGAGATTACTAAAAACTTACAATACAAGAACACTGGCTTAGAGCCATTCTTGCAGTAAATGAAAACAGGATTCTTTAAGACATTGTAAAATGCACCAACCTTAAATCAGGTTTTAAAAAGTTTTCATTTTTGGGACCAGCAGGTGGCATGGTGGTTAAGGTGCTGGACATCCCCACATGGCTGACCATGGTTCAAGTCCTGGACCTGGTGGCTTGCTTTCTCACTTCCCTCCTCTCTCTGTCTCTTTCTGGTAAAAAAAAAAAAAAAAAAAAAGAATAAATAATTTTTTTTAAAAAGTGTTTATTTTTAAATATGATATTTGCTGGTAGCTATCCAAGTTCATTAGCACCACACAGAGTGAATTAAAGAGAGTATTAGGACCAGCAGATGGCATAATGGTTATGTTGCTGGGCTCCCATGTAGTGGACCGTGATTTGGATCCTGGACCCTGAAGCTTAAAACTCATGCCAGGGACCAGCAGATGGCATAATGGTTATGTTGCTGGACTCCCACATAGTTGCCGTGGTTCAAGACCCAGACTCGGTGGCTTAAAAATCATGCTTGGCATGTGCGTGTGCATGCCTAAAATTCTGAGAGGAGAATGGAAAAGGAATTATGGTGTGGCCATCCCGCCTGGGGATGATTTCTCACTTTCTGTCTCTCTGTCTCTCTCTGTGTCTCCAGTGAGTACACGTGCCCTATAGCAAAAAGCTCTCTAAAAACAAAACAAAACAAATTCACAACAGGCACATGTGCATGCATGCCCAATCCCAAGAGGAGACTGAAAGAGAAGAGATTGCAGTATGGATGATTTCTTGCTTTCTGTCTCTCTTTCTCCCTCTGTTTCTCCAGTGAGCACACTATAGCAAAAATCTCTCTAAATAAATAAATAAATAAAAAGAGTATTTTCAGAGAGGATGACTTAGCAGTCTTTTTTATTTTTAAGTTTAAAAGTTGTACAATTAAGTTATTTCTTCAGTCATGTGTTTTTAAAAGACTCACTTTTCATCTTGCTAAATTAAAGGATCCCTTCCACCCCAAGGTTATAAAGGTAGGAAATTCTGGGACAAATATTATTGCACTTCAGCAAAGAATCCTAATAATATCCATTCTTTTGGTTCAATTCAAAGTCAGATTAATTTCTTCTGCCAGAGGACTCACAGTATATGTACTGAAACAACAATGATTCTATAGGACAAAGCAGCACACAGCTTCTATATGCAATCCACAACCAATGCAAGAACTTGCCCAGATCATTTACAGTTGATAGACCTTTCATCCAAGATGAAGCTCTTTAAGGAATATAACTCATACTTCATGTACTTTAATTAGCTCATCTGTTTCAAAATAATAACACCATCACTCAGTTTACACAATGGGGACTATATAATACGAACCCTAACTTGTGAGGTAGGGAAGTGTGTTGTATTATGGCCATTTCACGCAAGATTAAAATAGAATTATTTTTCAAAAAATATGGCAATCATTGATGAGACCAGAGGCTCCCCTTTAAGTAACTAAATAAAATTGCAAATAAGCCCTTCTCATTAAAGTATTAGCTAGATTGAAAATAGTGATGAAAAAGTTAATTCTCAATGTTTATGTAAAGTGCTTTCAATTAGTTTCTCTCAATGCATAGATACAAGGAAAGAATACTGACATATAAAATATAGTGTGATTTGACAATAACTTTTTAACTTTTGTTACAGGGTACATATGCTCACCAGAGAGAGACAGAAGAGAGAAAGTGAGAAATCACCCCCCAAGGGGGGATGGCCATGTCACAATCCTTTCTCTTCCATTCTCCTCTTGAGATTTATAGACATGTGCCAAAACATGCCTGATTTGTTTTTCAAGCCACCAGGTCTGGGACTTGTACCTTGAAGCTGGCCTTGTGGGATCCAGCTGCCTTAACCACCATGCCACCAGCTGGCGCAACAATAACTTTTTTCTTTCTATTCAGCTATGTACATGGCTCATTCTTGATTGAAAATAAATATTTTCACTAGATTATTGAGTATCTACAACCTTTACTTCCAGGCTGGCTTTGAATCCACTCTCCCTAATTTGGGGAGAGAGATTGATGAATATGGTTCTTACAGAAGTAATTCTACAAAATTAATTCTAATATCTATTCATTTGGGGAAGTTGCCCTTCTCCTGGATGAAAAACAGTATTTCTCTCTCTCTCTTTTTGTCATTGTTTAATTTGTTTTTAACTTTTCAGCAGACAAACCCATGCAGAAATGGATATTTACAGGTCTGCTAGGGCAGTAGGAAAATGGAGAGGGTAAATTTCATTTCCACACTTTTCCACTTGGTTACTATTTGCCTCTTTGAAGGAGTTTATTTGAAACAATAGCGTTTATCAGGGATTTGAGCAAAACTAGAAAACTGCCCATGTTTAATTCCAATATGTATATTCCATACACTCTATGCTGAAGATGGGGAAATACAATATGTATATATTTTTTGAGGTAAGACCACTGCTTAGAAATATAACAATAATAAATCACACATTCACAAAAAAACCCAGCTCACCTTACTCACCATTTTAAACAACACAGGAATGCACTGTAAAAAAAAATAATAATAAAGTTCTTGAAAACTGCATGTGATGTTAACCTATACACAGGGCTGAACTATCAAAAGGAAACCAGACTTTGTGACCTCAGAGGACATTTAAGAGCTTATGGCAACCATAAATGCTCAAGAAATCTTCCTGCTCCAAAGCTCCAATCTCTACATGCCGTTTTAGGAACTTGTCACATGTCACTTGGCATTGCAAGCTGTGTGGGCTTCCTCTGATCCAGAAGTGACTGTATTTCAGTGATAAGACAGGGTTTTCTAAACTTGAATTATTCTTTAGCACTTCTAGGCTGAAATTGTACCTTTAAATCCCATGGATGATAAATCTCATTAGTTACTGAATAAGAAATGCCACAATTATGTAAAACAGCTCATTAAGCTTTTTTTTTTTCTTTCCATGATCTGGAAATTAAGTCACTGTAGAAGATTGTTTATTTTATTATCATCAGAGGCCATTTCATTAACCAGCTGTTCTATAGACAACTGGATAGCATTTTTGACAAGAGAAGAAGCTGTTTCTATTAAGAGAGTTTCATATTGTTCTGAAGTTCTACCCTCTAAACCACTGTCATTAGCAAAACCCCCTACTTGCTCATTTTCGATTGAAATTAAGAATTGCTTAGGGACATTTTTAGATTTCTCAGCATCAAATTCACTGATTTCTGTGTCTGTAATAATAATAGCAATTGGCTCCATTCTTTTGCTTTCTTCTGTCTTGGGTTTCTCTGCACTGGGCTCGTTCTCTTTAAAATCTGATTCCTGGCTCAGTTCAGCATCTTTTGGCGTATTCTCCTCTGTTAGAATCACTGTACTGTCATAGTCTTTCCAATTTGATCCACTTTCTAAGATGTCGTTACTGGCTTCCTCCACAATTCGTTGATCTGGGATTGCAGGCGAAGGAGAAACATCCGAAACCACAGGTGGCTGGTAGTCTGTTTCTGAATTTTCAAGTGAGCTTGCTTGCTGGGGTTGAACACTTTGTTCTTCCTCAGCTGTTTCAATTTCTTTTTCAAGGATTACGGTTCCTGTTTGAATAGCAGATTGCCCATTGTCTAACCCAAGTTCCACAGAAATCACTTTCTCTCCAGAAGTCACGCGGTTGCTCACGTTTGACTCACAGACCTCATCACCATCTTTCTGTGAGATGCTTTCATCCAGATCCTGGGTCAATGTAGCCTTTGTGACCTGATTATTCAGTTGGGTCTGAGTTTGTACATCCAAACTTTCAGCCTCTCCCTGCACTTTGACGCTGCAATCTGAGTCCTCTATAATTTTGGAATGATTACTGCGTTTTACCCCTCTTGAGAACTTGATGCAGGGAAACTTGAGCCTGGATTTTGCCTTTTTCTTAGACGGCTCAGCAGCCTCAGCATTTCCTGCTGGTTGCACTTCGGCCTCCAACAGCTTGGGCTGCTTGGCAGAACCTGACTTTTTCCTGCGTGTGACAAGGCATTTAATTGAGGCCCAGGCTCCCCCTGGGTGCTGTGGCTGATCAGAAGCTCCTGCTTCTGAGGGACACTTCTTTGCCACATCAGCAGCTTCAGAGCCAGCTTTGGGCTTCAGAGCTTTGGTCGTTTTCTTTCTTCTCTTGAAGCAAAGCATGGATGCTGTTTCCTCTTGCTTCTTCTGAGGAGTACCTTCAGCTGATCTCTTCTCATCCTTGTTTTCTACTTGAATTTCAGGACCTATGGTCTCCATTTTTGTACTACACTCTT